GCAACCACCTGCTTTTAGGTTTTTGCAAGCGCCCTGCGTGCCCATGCAAGAAGGAAAGGGCCCAACAATTTAGAATACATCCTAAGTTTTGGTTTAGAGTACTTTGGGCGGGCTGTGGGGGGGCTGCGGGGGGCTGGGGGCTGCGGGCGGCTCTGGGGCGGGGGTTGTGGGGGTGGAGGGGCAATTGGAACTGCAGCCCATACTGTGCCCGAAAGGTGAAATGGAGGTCGAAAACCGTGGCTTGTGACCTATCCGGCTCTAACTAGTACTTAGGCAATTTGGTTGTACATGCGGCCCCACAGTGAAGGATAACCCTCAGTCACTTGGGGTGGAAGAATGGGTTTCTCCTTGAATCTCGGCAGGTCGTCACCCACGAGATCCTGCCGCAGCTGGTCTACTCGCTGGCGCAGCAGAACCGCCCCTAGCCAGCGCCACGGGAAGCGAGCGGCGTATCCCATGTAGGGTGCCCGTGACTTTGAAAACGCTTGCGGGTGCCATGGGTGCCTTCTTTCCGTCGTCGGAACTGAATGGCTGGAGGCCTTGGGGACTGGTCAACTTGGGAACTTGGGCAGGGTGAGCACCATTTTTTCACCGCTATCGCAGGTTTGGACCAGCCCTCTCCAAGGTTCTATGCCAAGGGCTCCAAGCGGGGCCCCGATACCAATGGTGCTTAACATGCTGTGAGCCAAAGAATGCCGAATAGGGCCGGCCAATCATAGGACGTTGCGATGTGTTTTGTCCGGAGAGCTACATCTTTTGTCTAGGGCAACTCTGCCAACTTCCATTCAGCAAGCCGATCGCCGATCGCCTTTTGTTTTGCTGTATAGCCTTCGCCCGACGTCTTGACGTCCTCGGCTTGAGCATCGAGTTGTTCGAGTACCATGTGGCTTTAATCCCTGGGGTGGAACTTCTTCACTTAAGGCTGTTGGTTCACAGGTTGCCTTCTTGTTGGTTTGGCAAAGGATTTGCCCCCTTTGTAGCGGCTTCCCAGGACAATGCAGTAGGAATAAGGATTTGCCTATTGGCCATGGTGGGCTCACTTTACCCTCCACCCCACCCAGGTGAGCCGGCCGTGATTGGGTTTACTTCGCTTCGCACAAGTTGGGATGAATGCAGAAGGTTCGTCCATCCCAACTGGTGTCTTCATCTTGTCCATCCACATTTTTTAATTTAATAGACAACCGCTGTGCTTAAGCCGAACCTTCGGAATTTCATTTGACCGGGTTCCGATCGCCTGCGACCATGCGGGAGAAACAAAAAGCACGAGCATTTTTCTCGGACGCCATTTCGGAGCCAGCCGTTTCCAAGGAATGGTCACCCGCATGCCTTTTGGGGGTTGGTTTTGAAGGGACGCCCAGGATCCATCCATTTCGAGCCAAGCTCCAAAGGCTCGAGGCTTCGGATCGACCAACGCTCGAAGAGAGAAAACGATTCGTCGAGCGTTGGACCTTCTGCAGGGGTCCCTATATTTCCTTTTTGGGTGGTTTTAAGCATCACCTTTTTGGCCCATGAAGGGTGGGTATTTTGTTGGCGCGTGTGATGTTTTAAGGGGAAGTATAGGGACTGTTCTGGCTGGTGGCTGCCGGCCATTGGGACCTTTCTCGGTTTCTGGTGGCAGAAAGTGGTCGTTTCCTCCAAAAAACCCACGAGTTAAAGTCACTTGGAGTGGGCTTGAGGCAGGTTTGGTTTCCCCACTTGGGCTTCTGTTTCGTCATGTCCCCAAGAGTTGTTGCCCAAACCCATCGTTCTCTTTAGACACCGCCTATTTTCCCAAATTTGGCCCGTTTTTGGAAGAGAAGGATCCCTGAACAGAATGGGGAGGGCGGAGCTAGATAATTTTTTCTCTTGTGGTTTCCGTATTTCACCCAGAAGTTATTCACTTTCATCCGCACAGAATACCAAAGAACACAGAAAACACCCCCTCAACTGGGCTAGTCTGATGGGACGTGGGTAGTGCTTTGCCCTAGCGCGAGCCAAGGCTTCTACAAGAAGGCCGCCGCCTTTGTGCTGCGCGCGGTGGCGAAGCACTCCGTAGGCCTGGCGCAGGCGGGGGCCGGCCGCGGGGGCGGGCCGCGTTTTTTTTCTTCTTCTCCGGGTTTTGGTGCGATAGGTGGGGAGTGTGGAATGGAACGAACCCCGTTTTTTTTTCCTTTCTTTCTTTTTCCTGAAAGGAAACCAGTGTGGCATGGAATGGACCCGGGCTTTGTTTTGTTTCTGAAAGGAAACCAGTTGGATGGCTAAAAAGTTGTGATTCCATGTCTCCTTCTCTGCTGAGCAGCAGCAAGTTTTCTGTGGGCGGGTAAGTGCGCAAGGGCAAATAGCAAAGGGAGCCGGCCATGTACCAGGGAGCGCTGGAAACACCCCATGGCCAAGGGACTGGCCGAAAGGCCAAAGGGTCAGCCTTTACTTGAGGAAACACCAACCATGGCCAAGGTGGCCCTTGGTTGACCCGGTTTCATCTGGGCCATCGACTTTTTTCCAAAGGGACGCCCATGGCCATGCCGAATTTTCCGGTTTTGAATTGCCTCCTACGAGGCAGTGGTGGACTCTGGTGCTCTCGAGTCGCTTGTGGTGTGCTTGGAGGACTGAAGCATGCGGATCTTGCCCCGGTTTCTGTCGCGGGTTCTCCACATACGGGTTGCCGTGGTTGCGGGCACGTTGTTTTCAAGAGTAGTCGGTTGGTGAGAAAATGGACGCCGGTTTTGGGCCTTCCCTACTTGAAGCTCACCTGTTGTGAGCTCATTTGGTTTTTGCCTCTCCCTGCCGAGAATGGCCCGGGCCCGGGGCATGCAACTTTCCGATACAGCGCGTGTCAGCAGGAGAGGGGACGCAATCGATGTACGTATTGCGGCCGCTGGGGGAGTAACTTTTCCACCCGCAGACGACGAACTCTGATGCCCAAGGCTCTCAGAAGCAAAGAGGAATCGCGAAGATGCCTTTCCGAAGCCAAATTCCCCAAGACGAATTCCCACGCGAAGACGAATTGCGAAGACGAATTCGCCGAACCCGAACTCCCTCCCGAAGCCGAACTCCCCCCGAAGACCAGTTGCGAAGATGCATTCCCGAAGGCCGAATTTCCCCCCCGAAGACAAATTGAGAAGACACATTCCTCCCAACCACGAATTCCGCTTCTGAAGGGCTTTTGTCAGTAGAGCCGCCGCCCACCCCTTCTGAGGCCGTGAGGGATGTTTCTTTTCGCTTGCTTCCGCAAAATCAACCCGTGGAAAACTCTACAACTGCACGGCGCGCTCGCCTTGCCTGACGCACGCAGCTTGTTGCGTACTTCGCTGCTTTACTCGGCACTGGGCTGGAACTTGGCGTCCTACATGCGCTTTATATCTGCCATTGTCCATCTTACAGGATCCAGGGAATCACGAGACGGCATAGACGGCCTTCCGGGCTTCTTAGAGGCCGCGGCTTGGACCGTCAGGACTTTGTACAACAACGAGCAACAAACTGGATCTTCTGAGCTTCTGAGCTTCAAAGGAAGCTGCAAATTTGCAAAGGCCTGTCCCGCAAGCGCTCAGCTGTGGAAAGCCTTCTGGCCCGTTTTGCGCGGATAGTCTGGTATTCCAAGACTGTCTGAAGCACGATTCTCTTGGCGAGGATTCACGTAGTTGGATGCAGCTTCTATGAGCTATGACAGATGCATCTCCATGCCGTTTGTGCTGCATGCTTGGGACGTACGTGCATGCTGGATTGCGGTCAGTGTTTGCGCCTGGATCCGCTTGAAACCGTGCGGCTAGAATTGTTTCTGACTATGTTGTTGGTTCGGGGTTCGTTGCCATTCATTAAGCAAAAAAGGAGTCGCAAAAAGGCGGTTGCGTGAAATAGCGGAACGGAAATGGAGATGCTTTGGTTGCTAACGTCGCTTCAGGAACAGAGTGCGGCGTCAGAATGCGAATTCAGCATCAGGTGGAAAGGCTAAGCGCAGAGCACCCAGCGCCCAGCCCAGCCCCACCCTACCCAACCCAATGCAAGCCAACCCAACCCTGCCCAACCCAACCCGACCAACCAACCCAACAATCAAACAAGCAAGCGGCCTTGGCCAGCATGGTGGGCTAGATGAGAAGCATGCGCGAACAACCGGACCCAAACAGATGCTTCCGGCGCGTCCGGTCCGCCGCTGCTAGCGTTTCGCCCTGCATTTCCACTTTGAAAATCACAAACAAGGAGGAACCACGCACACAATTCTAACTTGACTCAACAACAGGGGCTCAGAAAGGATGTGTCTGGGCCAGTGGGAAAAAACACTGCGGAGGGCTATTTTTAAGGTTTTTTTCGTTATTTAAAAGGATTTTTTGTTTTTCAGGGTGGGTTGCTTTTCGGCTTTTGGCTTTTGCTGTTTCTACGTGGATTTTTGTGGCTTTTGTGGCTTTTCATTTCGCATCGCATCCTCTGCATTCACAGTTCGTCTCTGCTTGTCTTTTCGCATCCTCTGCATTGCCAGTTTCGCTGCGGCAGGTGGCTTTTTGGCTTTGTGGCTTTTGGCGGCTTTCTGGCTCTGGCTTTTCGCATCCTCTGCTTTCCCAGTTGGTTTTTGGCCTTGGCTTCCTGCATCCTCAGCACCGCAAGTTCCTCTCTGGTGCCCCCCACCACCCCCCTTTCGATTAAAATGCACGCCGAATTGAATCATCACTTTTTCGATCATCATGCGACAGCTACTTTTTAGATTCTTTGCCCCTAATTGAATCATCACTTTTTCGATCATCATGGGGGGGCTGCCCCCCCCCAACCCCCGCTCCTTTAAGATGAATCATCACGTTTTCAATCATCATGCGGGGGCCGCTGCCCCCCTTTGTAGATTTTTTTGCCCCTAATTGAATCATCACTTTTTTGATCATCATGGGGGGGCTGCCGCCCCCCCCCCCCCCCCAACTTCGACCATCATGGGGGGGGCTGCCCCCCCCCCCCCCCCCCCTGCTGCTTTTTAGATTTTTAGCCCTTAATTGAATCATCATTTTTTTTTTATCACCATGGGGGGGGGGGTCTCAATTGTGGTAGCGGAGCGGGTTTTCCGCAGAGATCCAATCACCACCTGCAATTCTGACGAACCCCGAAGCAGAAAACGATGATGAAGAGCTTGAACTGCCCAACCTTGCGCAAGAAGAAACAACTGCACCTCCTGTGCAGAGCAGTTCATCCAAGAAGCAGAAGACAGGAAAGAAGAAGAAGAAGCCAGGTGAGAATCCAGACGACGAAGATTCGCCTGGGTCATCTCCCAAGAATGAACCGGCAGCTTCATCCAATTTCAACCCGAACAATCCAGTCAACTTGCCGATGCAATCCGACAGTGAGGAAGAGCTACTCCCTCACGTTCCAACTTCATCCGGCACTGGAAGTTCACAGAGGACTATGCAGTACACTGACCGAGAGGAAGATGAATCAGAAGACTCTCAGAGGACAAGGCAATACAACGATCAGGAAGCCGACCTTGTTCTTGATGAGGCACATTGGTCACTTATGACATCCGATCAGAGAAGATCTGTGCCAACACTGGATCCTTCACGGTTCCGAGAGACATTGCAGAAAACCCTGTCCTTCTCGGACAAGTAAAAGGGACCTTCAAGCCATCCAACAGATGTGGATTCTCTCATCAGAAAAACACAGACAAGGATCATGTTGACCGGCTTTGCAAGAACATGACAGACGATGACTGAGCACTCTTGGTATTGTATTCATCCAAGCAAGAATCCCTGAAAGCTCCATCTACATCCGCACTTATCGGTAAGAAGCGGAAAGAAGCAACAGCTACTGAGACGAAAGCTTACCAGAAGCAATTCCTTGAAGCCAAACACCTCGAGTGCAAGTCTTGGCTTGACAATGAAGTGTTCGACTTGGTCGATACACGAAGATTCAGGTCAGGAATTGGGTCACATGGGTTCTCACCCTGAAGCGAGACCAAGACAGGAACTTCCTGAAGACGAAAGCCCGATGGGTCCTCCGAGGTTTCAAGATAAGCAGAAGAACGATCAGCAGACAGACAGTCCTGCTGCATCCAAGAGTGGCTTCCGCCTTGCAATCCAAGCAGCCGCAAACAAGGGCTGGAATATATATCACATGGATTTGAAGACAGCTTTCCTTCAAGTCGAAGCATATGATCAGAATCGTGACATTATTTGTCAGATCCCTCCTGAAATGGGATATCCGCCACACATTGGTGCGCGTATGAAGAAGCCTGCTTATGGGCTGAATGATGCACCACGCAGATGGTGGAACATCCTAGATCCGGCATTCCGTTCATACGGATTAGTGCCAACGCGAGCAGATCGTTGTACATATGTTTACTATGGTAAACAGCTTCCAAAATCCTTGCCGATCAGTGAAAAGAAGTCATCCAATACATTCGATCTTGAAGGAGCAGTTGATTGCCCCATGGACCCCATTTCCGGTAACATCGACAAGTTCATGGAGCACTTTCTCTGCAGGTAGATGATACTCTTATGACCGGGGATGACGGTTTTGAGAAGAAAATCATGGGACGACTTCGTAAAGATTTTCAAGTCGGTTCAGAAGACAAGAATGATTGCCTTTTCGTAGGACAACGAATCCAATGGAAGCATGACGACAAGCGCGGTTGGTAGAACGTTGCCATTGACGAACTTCAGGAGATCACCTTTGACAAGTGTCTAAAGGATGATACACCACTTACTCCTCAAATGCATACTTCTTACAGAAGTGTCTTAGGTCAGACCAACTGGTTACAATCGCGAACACAATTCCACATTGGTTCTTCTCCAGGTTAGTAGGCTATCCAGATGCCTCCTATCGCAATAATGAAGACAAGTCATCCCAACGTGCACATGTTATCTTTCTTGCAGAACAGAGATCTTCGCCAGGGCTCATCGAATTCGAGAGGCTCATTGGTTGACTACGAGACGCATAAGATCACCGCCACAACCATGTCCACGACTGTTGCTGAATTGCACGGACTGATGCGTTGTTTTGGTTCAGCCTTATTTCTTTTCGGACTCTGGTCAGACATTACAGGCGAAATCGCGGATGTCCATATCAGCACAGATGCTAACAAGCTTGTTACAACAGCACCCACAACACATCAACCAGAGCAGAAAGAAACAATGCACTTAATCCAAATGTTGTGAAAGGAGAGCAATAGCGGACAAATGCACATCTCGCACATGTGCGAAGCGAGGATTGTCTAGCGGACTCGCTGACCAAACGCTCAGCGAAGGCAGGGTTGCTTATTGGGGAACTTGGGCGTGATACACATGTCCATGAATTTTCGATGCATGAATTTTTCCGTTTTAGTGATTTTCAATTCCTCAATGCCGTGATGAGTATTTTGCATGTGAACTTTCTTGAACCTCAAGAAATATGTGTCTGCATCCGCAGCCAGTTTGGTTTACAACCCATTCGACCTTTTGCGATCGTGCATGTTCAATCCGATTGACAACGACATGCCGCTCCTCGCAAGCCTTTTCGGAAGCAGCAAGTCAAAGCCATCCCCCCCGAAGCCGGCCGGAAAGAGACGAGCATCTCCTCTCAAGGGCCCACCCATCCCGAGTGATGACGATGACGAATCATCCGCATCCGACTATGTCATGGGCGAGATCAACGAGGAGAAGAAGCCGAAATCCGATCGTCCGGAAGAAGAAGGCATTCCAATGGAGCAGGCAGACTATGATCGAGATTCCGACAGCGACGAGGATAAGAAGCCCTCTGATCCACCTCCCGAGGAACGGCCAAGGCAGAAGGCAATGCCCATGCAGCCTCCGGTGCCGACACTGAGGCTTACACCGAAGATCAAGGCACAGCCATCCACGACCTTGGACGAAGAGACGGAATCCGACAATGCCAAGCATCATCATGAAGACCGGCCACCTTTACCAAGACGGCCAACGATGAAGGCACCTCGCATCCCTTGATCAATCCAAGTGGGTGAGCCCCAACAAGCCAGAGCAGATTGGGGTAAAGCTTCTGAAGGTTGCCTCGAATCCTTCGCCATTCTGGAACCACAAGTTTCTGAGCATTGTGCAGCCATACTACCGTGAGTGCCGCACCATCCAACAGAAACATCCAGACTTCAACTACGTTCCTGAGCATTTGCGAGGGGCCCATGAGAAGCCATGTTGGCTAAAGACCAAATTCAATGACCTGTGGGAACCTACCATTCGTGGAGAGGACACCCAGGGAGAGAATGCGTACATGCATCAAGAAGATCTACGGTATGTGTTGCCTGATCAATGACGATCCCAAGAGTTTCAGCACTAAATCCAGATTCGAGATAGCGTTCGTACATCCGAAGTTCGATGGATCATACAAGGAACAGGAAGCAAGGAACGCGATTGTCCCGAGAAACCGATGGATTGACAACCTCACATCCCAAGCAGCATTCCATGCACTCCCGCCTGATGGTAAGTCATTCTGCAACGACGATGACATGGAGCTGTATGTGAGATGCAACAGTGGTGACTCACGATATGTTGAGCTGGAAGCGATTGGGAGACCCTTGTGGAAGAACACCTGGGAAGAGCCATCATATGACTTGCCCAATGGATCCAAGCCTCGTGATCAAGACCATGAAGATGAGAGCACAGCAGCTCCGAAATCCATCGAGCAGGACAGGAAGATCGTTCCGTTCAGGAAGAAGGCCGTCACATTTATGTTCCATGCCACTTATGGAACTCAGATCGAGAACATCATGCAGCAAGGCATCAAGCCAGGACGGATTCACACCCCTCGGGGAAGACAACACGTCCACATGGCATGCATCGACGATATCATCTACGATGATCAGGAATCAGACGCAGCGCTGACCCATGTCCCTAAGGGACGCGATGCATTGTTGATCCTTGCATTCACACGAGACAAGCAGTACAACATCCGAGTCACGGAAGAAAGAACTGCCCTGTCAGAGAACACCATCGATCCATGCAGCATCGTCGCAGCGTTCGATACCGATGGGCAGCTCCTGCTTAGCAGCTACTGGATCATGAAAAAGAACTTCGGCAAGGAAGACCGAGAGCAATGTGAATCCAAGACCCTGGAGTTTGCCGAGCACTTCTTCAAGCACATTGACAAGGGCATCTCCTACGACAAGCACAACAAGTACAAGAGCAATCCAGCGAGACCAAGAAAAGACGGCATTCGACAGATCATGATGAGGAAAGCATGACAACAAGAGCAGATCGATCCGTCAAGGTCAAGGTCAAGGTCATCGTGGAACCTACCAGTCCGGCCAATGTGACTGAAGTCAATCAGGAATTTCAGGACATCTATTTGGACCGGGAAATGTCCAAGGCCGATGCTGCAAAAGAGCTCGCCGAGATTCAGCAGTCATTCACGGAGTTCATGGAGAGGTACCACACGGATCCAAAGAAAGCACACAAGGACCTGACCGATTGCGAACTGAGATCTTTGGCACACGTGAATCCAGATGAGAACATCGAGGACGATGAGTTCTACTTCGAGCACGCAAGTGAACATCCGACCATGGAAGAGTTCAGAGCAGCGCAGAACCCTTCGGGGTATCCACTGCGACTTCCAATCGGACTCAAGAAGTTAAAGAACCAACACGATCCCGAGCTCATCAAGTCATTCACGAACATTCTGGGATCCTTGACGCAAGGAACGATGGCCACGTTGTCGACTACCTCAAGAGAAAAGATTATCCATCCAGCATTTCACTCAACATCCTGACAGTGAATCACGGGAACCTCACAAGGAATCCAAAGCTGGATAGTCGAGAACTCAAGTCATGGCCAATCAAGCACCGACCGCTCATCATGCAGATGATGCAGAACAGTGCACATATCCTCTGCATCAACGAGGCAGACGCGTTCCTCTACCCAGAAGAAGATAAGACCCTCGATCTCATCAAGCTGTTCATAAAATGCGGATACAAGGGCATCGTTATCAAGCTATGGTTATCCAAGTCCATCGCATGCTTTGTCCGAGGTGGGAAACACGCCAGAGTCGAACTGTTGGCACGTTACATTTCAACAAAGAGCCAATTCTGGAGTACTACATTCGGAATGTTCAGATGCTTCTTCGGCCTCGAGGAAGGGTGCACTGACCCGGACTACGATACTCCCACATCCGCTGCCTGGCATCCACCGGAACATCCATGTTCCTCAACAAGGAGAAGTATGTTGGACAGAGATTGCCACCACGCACAACCGTTCAATGGCATGGCAAGAACAGTGAGATTGTCGTCATCCACATCGAGCAGAACAATGAGATCCGTGGAGCACTTCCAAAATCCACTCAGGATCCTGTTCTATCCTACGACACCCGCCGTGTCACCAGAGCTGATCTTCCATTTGCCACCATCGGGGTGTTCCATATCCATCCGAACGTCAGCCATGGTGCAGCAAAAGAAGACGTACAGAAAGGTATCATGCCGCTCGTTACGGAGTACCAGTGATCCGTTACAATCCTGAAAGCGGCCTCATGAACTACATCACGGAGAAGTTCAAGAACCTTTGGAATGAAACACAAGACATGCCGTTGGCGGAACGAATGGATTTTACCATGTCGACTTCATGCACGATCAAACCCATTGCTCGCCACCATCTTCATATGAAGGAAGGTTCAGGAGATGACAGGACGTTTCCGGATTGCATGATGACCTTCGTTTTCAGTTGGGGCAAGACTGACATCCAACAAGAATTCCGTCGATCCGAGATTGCCAAGCTCGACCAAGCTACGATGGATTCCATGATAGAAGATGTTGACAAGGTCATCTCTGACTATCTGGTCACTTCCGCCGAGCGCAACAATGAGATGCTAATGCTTGGACCATGCGACTCCGACTCTCACACCCCATTGCTGGTCTATGTTCGCAGCCTCGCAGCTGATCAAGAAAGAAATCTCCACCGCAAGAAGGACTACATCCAGAACAAGAAGAATGGAAGCCATGGGACCAACCCTATCAGCAAGGATGGAAGAACTCTGGCTACCAAGGATGGGAGGATTATGGCGGAGGATATGGAAGTCAATCCGATAGCAGCTATCGTTGGTACTCGCAGAGGCGATGAGATACTCTGACTACAATCCACGCTGAGAGCATTCACACGGAAAACGACACCACGAATTCCAACCAATTGATCCTCCTGACATCAAGACTATGCCTGCGAGTGATCAATAGTTTCACACAATCCCGCGTGTACAAAGTGTTTCTCACATCTCCGTTTTAGATACAGCTGGGTATCTCGTCCAACCAGTACAAAGCATTTTCCATTTTGCCAACAAGACAGTTCATCCGCGACAGAAATAGGATGATTTAAATTTCGATACGGCTACGGCAAGCACACCATATCCATGGCTACGGCCAAAGGCCATGAAGCCAAGAATACCATTTTGGTGTTCAGGGTCAAAAGCAATTGTGTCTGTTTTGTGTTGCTTTTGCTTCGCAAGTTGACCCTGCAATCACCACTTATATTTTGGCTCAAGGCCCCTCTTGTACAATAGTTGCATTCATCCTGCAGCCATTACAAAAGAACCTAGCAGAGCGCCTTGTATTGGCATATTGGACTCTCTTGCAGGGGGCCTATACACATATTCTCTACTACCACAAGGTACCTGCTCCCTTCAGGGATACGGTACCCCCGGCAGTGCACCCCACCCCCCCCCCCGCTACTTTTTGCAGAGATGGAAATGCACCATCACTTTTTCAATCATCATGGGGGGGGCTGTCGCCCCCCCCCCCCCCCCAACCCCCCGCTACGTTTTAGGTGTTTTGCAGCTATTAGTTTGCACGTATTTGAATCCTCACTTTTTCCATCATGAGGGGGCGGCCCTGATGATGCTGAAGATGCAGCAAGCCAAGGCCCTCGATTTGCTGGTGATGCTGGGGATGTTGGCTGGACATGCGAGGGATGTTGAAAACGATGCTCATGATGTTGACGGACTAGCGTAAAATACGTACATTTCGCGACAAAATGCTGCAAATTACAGCATTCTGGTAGCCAGGAGTGGCCAAGTGGCTTACTTGGCGTTCCCCCTTTCTCCTTCTGTATTGTGACACTCGGGAAACCACATTTCGGAGAGCGTAAGTTTCGACTTTGGTGGACATCAATTTGCGCAGGGGGGGGGGGGGTATTTCCACCAACCACATTGGAGCGTGCCCGCTGTTAAGATGCTTTTGGGTCGAGATTTAATTTGGGATTCCTTTTTTGTTTTATGTTGGGCTTTTTTGTGTTCCGTGGGTCAAATCGCTTCCTTCCACGTGGAAAGCGCTTAGGAGTTTGATCCGTCGGTGAAGGAGGCGGCAGCGTGGGCGTTGGGGTATATTGTGACTAGGCTGATGGCAGGGAACTGAGTGGCGGGGTAGGCTCGCTTCCCCGAAGCCGACCTTTTGATCTTTTGATTTCCGAACAGACTAGCCTTGTATTTCTGGGTCCTTTGGGCTTTGGCACTGTCTTTGTGTTTCCAGCTCTTTGAGCAAGGCAGATGGGTGGTTGAGGGACATGGCGGGAGGCGCCACAATTCCCCCACAAACAGGGGACCCACTCATTTCTCCAGCGTCCATTCCGTGGCTCACAAAAGCATTGCTTAAAAAATGGAGGGGGGGAGGGTAAACCATCTTTACTCCAGGTGCTTGGTCTGGTCTCCTTTTGGTTTCTCAGAGTGCAGCATGGGTTCCTAAGGCACCAAGAGCAGTTCCACTTTCCCAGTTGGACCCCCAAAAGGCGGTGTGCCCGACAAAGGCCTCCGAACTTCGAAACCCAAATACAGCCGTATGCCGTATGCTTTTCAACAGCAACTTCCTCAGGTGTCCACCCCTTTTGGACTTTTGGACTGCACAAGTCCGACAAATCCAAGAGGGATAAGAAGCTTCACCATGGCCAAAAGCGGCTGAGGCGAAGCACAGCCAGGAGCTGGCCCAGAGCGTGGTGGACGCCGGGGCGGTGCCGCTGCTGGTGCTGGCCTTCCAGGATCTTCAGACAATTTTTGACCGCAAAGTGATGAAACGCCGGGAAGAAGGGGGAGTTTTCCTGAATGGGCTGAGTCAAACAACACAACATAAAAAACACCTGGCCATTTTTGTTTTTTTGTAAGTTGGTTGGTTTTAAAGGGATTGATTTCACTGGTCATCTTCTCCAAGGGGCGAATACGCAAATGGAAGAAACTCGGAAAAGGGCAGTTTTCCTTGGGTTTCCTTGAGAAAGGGTAGCTTCGAAAAACAGTGACACCCAAAGTTTGTAGGGGAACATGGGGTGACTTTGTTCGCATTCACCAGGGATTCGGTGGTTGGATGTGGTTGGTCCACTTGCAATATTTGGGACATCCCTCAATTTGGGTGGTTTAAACATCATCTTTGAGGCCCTGTTTGCATGCCATGTCTACCCACCCATGGATTTTTATTTGCATGTGCACTTGATGGGCTTTCGTCTTGGTTTTCAGTTTAAAGCCACCCACAACTTTTTCTTTTTTTTGGGGGTGTAGTACCTGGCGAAGAAAGGGGGGCCATAAAAAACAGGCCGGTTTCCTTTCGGTCACCTTTTCGAAATCCGCCGATTTCGGGGTGCGAGGTATTTTTTAAGACCCGAGGTACACCGAAGCCCCTTAAAAGGGGTACGCGCTCGGTTCCATGCCGGCCCCGAATCCTGCGATCCAAACCCGGGCGTGGAGCCCATCTTGGGCTTAAGAGCCCATCTGTTGATGGCCATTGGGAACCTGCAGAAATGGCGACCCCACAATGGCCGAAGCTGAACACCGCGATGGTGGGTTACAATAATTCGGGTAGCCAAGAAGTCCGGCTAGCTCCGCGTCGCTCAACACGATTAGCAATAATAGCTCCCAACTGTTTGGTGCCATGGTCACACTATTGTCTAAAGAAGGGGGGGCGTACCTTCACATATGTTTTCCGTCCTTCTTTCTTTCTTCCTTGCTTTCCTTTTTCTTTCTTTCTTGCTGTCTTTCTTTCCCTCCTTCGTGTGTTCATCTGAGCCCAAAAAAAAAGAAACCGGGCCAGTGACGGAAAGTCCCAGCCAGAATGAGTTGCGGCCGCCCTTGTATTGCTTTCCCTTGGTTTGGGTACACCATTTTGATACCAGGTTTTTATTGTGACTCTGGGTCACCAGGCCACTCACTGCTGGCTCTTAGCCATCCGCTTCCTTAGCTTTTGAGCCTAGTGTTGAGTTGCAGTTTCCATTTGCAGATCCAAGAGTTAAACTCTTGGTGCCTTAGCCTTTTAGCCTTGTGGTGAGGTGCAGTTTCCATTTAACCCGCTAAAAGCTAAACTTCCAGATGTTTGGTTTTAGCCAACTAGAAGTTAGTCACTTTGAGCGGGGGATCTGAGGGCAGTGACTGGTGACCCCTGGTGACCTTCCCAGGAGCCGGATCTCACCTTGAAGCGCATCTCAGCCTCTGCGCCTTGAGCGTCGCCGAGGGGATGGGCTCGGAGGGGCGCGCGTAGTGATCTCTGCGGATGGTTTGCAACGTGCTCCACGGGCTTTTTTGTTTGTATGGCGAGTTGTCTTTCTTTCTTGGCTTTTTTCAATGTTTTTTTGGAATAGTGTCTTTATTGTCGAGGCCATGTAGATGCCATCCCAATTACTCAGCAAAGTTAAGGGAACTGTGCCATGTAGGGTATCATTACGTCCCTCAAAGCTGACATGGAGGGTGAACTTTTTTTTTCTCTCTCTCTCTCCCTTGAATGAATGACCGGAAAAAAATCGGGAAGCAGACTTTCAGGGCTGCCATCTGCTTTCTCCCAGCTGTAAACCTGCTTGAATTGGGGGTTCACAGGGCTGCAGCTTTGCCGGTGGTCCTCAACCATGCTCCTTGCGTTTGTTCATGTATGATATATGCTGTAGTGCCTTGAAAGTGACCCCGGTTTATGTAGTTCCAGCTATGTTTGTTCACATGGTTCATGCACATAAGCTTTACAGAGAAATCGGCTGACGTATTTTTCTAGCCAGGGAGTGTTCTCCCTTGCACAACTTCATGCCTGCATTGCCTGCACACACACACACACATGCATACATTCGTTCAGCTAAGCACGCACAAACAATTATTTACACAGGCATCTTGATATGTATCTCTATCTCTCTCTCTCTCTCTATATGTACACATCTCTATTATCTCTCTCGCTGCTTACGTATATATATATATATATATATATCTATCTATCTACACATATATATATACTTTTATGTGTGTGTGGGGTGTGTGTTTACACGTGCAAAAGCTCTTTTGCAGGGAGCCCAGTGCGCGCACATTTGTCCGTGCTGGGGGGTTTCTTCGCAGGCGCTGAGCGACGTGGCCAAGCACAGCCCAGAGCTGGCGCAGCTGGTGGTGGATGCCGGGGCCACCTCGCTGATGGTGAAGGACCTGGCGGCTGGGGTGGTGACTGCCGGGAGCCTTCCGAAGGTCATGGCTGGCTGTTTTTTTTTTTTTTCCGCTGGGGAATGGTCGGTCGCCCGGTGTATTTTTTGGTTATGGGTCATTACTTTGAAGGTTTCTGGGGGGTATCAATGTCAGAAATGGATTCGGCGGTTTCCCTTAACCCAGCACTTAGGGGGTGACTAAGGACATCTTGACTGCTATTGGGCAACGGATCTTTAGACTTTAACTTTTTGGTTGAAAGCTTTTGGGGTTGTCAACGCTAAACCCCCCCCCCCCCCCAAAAGTGCGTTAAACTTTTTGCAGGGGGGTCGTTGCAGCAACCAAGACATGGTGATGAAAGTCAGCTTGGACCAGTGTCTCCACTCATGAGCCATCTCGGCCATTGGGGACCCCAGGAAACCACAGAAGTGACAAAGTGGTCAAGGGAATCAACCGCTTGACTTTGTACATCAGGGTTGCGGGATCAAGGGGTTTTTCTCCACTTCTGTGCTATAAGGGAATCTCCCCCTTTATGTGGGGGTTAGTCTTTGGGAAGCCTTTTTCTTGTTGTATCACAGAAGGCTGAAGTGGTTATTCCCCACAGCCCTGTTGTACATTCCTCATTTGAAGTGAGACTTTGTGGTCCCACCTCTTGGTTTCCTTAGATCCCCACATGAGCCACCATCAAAACCGGGGTAGATGAAGGTTAGTGAGGGACAATCCCAAGCATAAATAGCTGCGGCCGCCTTCTTAATTCCTTATATGGTTCTGGGTAGACCATTTTAATACCGGGTTTTGATTATGACTCACATGGTTCAGTCCAAAAATCCGCGCACGTTCGAGTCCCGCAACGGACCGGAGGAGGTCTCCAACAGCGACGCGCCGCTGAAGCGCCAGGTGTGCTCCTGCCTGGCGCAGATCGCCAAGCACTCGGCGCCCCGAAGCGAAGTTGCGTCGGAAGTTTTTCGCGAGGAGAAAAACAACGGGACACGATTATTGGAGATGCTCAAGCCCCAGGCCAATCCTGTGTTGTTTCAACGGGCATCTTTTCGAAAGGTTGAAAGGGATGGGCACTTCCATATCTGGTGGGATGGCAGCCCGTCCCGGCAAACCGTTCCGCTCATGTAGCACCGACGGTTGCACAATTCTCGAAGAGAGGCTTGGTAGAGGGCATGTTGTCAGGGGGCATCCGCTGACGAGCAGTGAATCCGTGCGGTCTTTGCCCGGATTCGGCCTTTGTTTGCCTGGCCTCCGGGCCGGTGGTCACCTCCCTTGCGCTTACTCGGTTGACCTCGCTGGCTACCCTCCCCCTCCCGGCGCTTCAGTAGTGTGCGCCGTTGATAAGGGGTTGTGTTGGCAGGGAGCCAAAGAGAACTTCCTCATTGCGGTAAACCCACCATTTTTGGTGGGTACGGAGGGTAATCCTATTCTTTCATCTTCCGCCACCACCCCTGTGACGCAGACCGGGTCCATGTGCCCGATCCGAGGTGGATCTGGCCGAAGTTGTGGTGGAGGCCGAGATCTTCCCCAACATCCTGCACTGCCTCAAGGACGTGGACCAGCGGCTTGGCGCGTTCGTCTGCTTGATGGCTACTGGGACACCGAATCTTTGGACGAACTTTTGAGGGAGGATCAAGGGTGTTCCGAATTGAACGAGGCCATATGCCCAGGAACGAAGCAATTGAGTGGCTTGACATCCCATGGATGGACGGAGACCATTTCACATCACCGAAGACCCTGGAATGATTCGGTTTTCTTCGTAAGTAGCAAGAAAAGCATGGTTCCCCCGTTTCAGGGCGGCACGGTCTCGGATGTCGATTTCAACCATCCACCGGGCAACCAAAACCAAAAATTGAAGCTAAAGCAGGGGCAGGCCATCCTCTGGTGCTTGAGCCAGCTGTTCGCGAAGGTCTTTCGGATGCAACATGCCAAGGCCAGTTTGGGCCTAAAGGACCGGCCCGTGTGTATCGTTGGCTTTTTTTATTCTACGACTAGGTCTCCTGGAAGGGGCGAGCTTGATCTTTTGAAGGGACACCCAAAGGCAAGGGACTTCCAGTCCAAGCCTCCAAGCATCATCTTCCCAAAGTGCGTTCACGCTCCAGGTGTCCCAAGCAACGCAATCCTCGTACACATCGTCGAAGTACACAAAGCTCTCCGGTTCCTCTGCCGCCTTTTGAAGGGAACCCTCCGGACGGATGTCGTTCGGGACCAGGGTGGTGCGGAAGAACGCGGCCACCTGCATCCGCCGCCTGGCGGAAGGGGTCAAAGGGGTAGATGTAAACGTGCCAGGTCCCTTGGGACGAATGGCAAACAAGCAAAAGCTAAGAGCCGTAAGTGGGGGCCGCCCGAAATCGTGTGGCTTTCAGTTCCCGTAAGACTCTCCCAAAAGGTGTCCCCACATGGATGTGGACGGGAACACACTTTAAACGCCAATGATCCGTGGTGAATTTTGTCAACCAAGCTGGGGTTACCGGGTTTCAAGCATATGGGTTCATGCTTTTAGCAAGTTTCGACATGTTGGCAAATGTCGAGGCTGGCGGGAATGTTCTTTTTGTTGGTTTGGTGAGGCCCCCCAGCCGCTTCTAAATGGAATCTGGCACAGCCCATGCAGAGTTCCACTTTAGATACATGTTTGTAAACAAGTCAAACAACTGAAAAAAACAACATATGTTCCAGTCTCAAAAATAGAAAGAGCCCCATAGCCCGCCCCCTCACCCACTCCCTATGCCCGGCCCGGCACCCCGCTTTTTCAGGTGTGCCAACACACAGACGTTGAGACGATCTTGCAGGCCCAAGCCAAGAAAACCCCAATAGGCCTTGAAGGAGGTGGCCAAAAAGAACAAAAAAACAACAACACAATGAACCATGACCCTCCCTGTCCACCAGCACCATAGAGCCCACCTGTCTGTCGATCCCACCTGGCAAACTGGACTGAGGCGAGCTGGCGCGGCACACCCCGGATTTGGCCAAGCTCATCGCCCCTCGGCCGGATGGGCTCCCTCCAGCGTCGGAAGCGTTTTTTGGGCACAGCCGCGGAGGAATCGCTGGGAAGGGGGTCCCTATATGTCCCATTTTGGCGATTCTAAACATCACCTTTTTGGCCCATGAAAGGTGAGTGTCCCTTTTAAGGGGAAATATAGGGAGCCCTGTGGGACCAAATATGCCACCAGTCTCGGGTTGCGGTTCTGGCGAGCCCGCGACCGGCGCGGGCCAAGGTCAATGCGGGGGGCATCGCGGCCGTTGTGGACTACGTGAACGAAGCCTCCGGCAACAGCCGCAGCTTGCAGCGCAGTGGAAACGGGCGAGTTACCCCATCATTCCCCAAACAGCGAAGCATTGGGGTTCTAACTTGAGGTATAGAGAATGGGAAAGTGTGACGCCGGTTCCGGGGTCCTGTTTTCCGCTTGTCTTCCTGTCTCCCAGTCTCTCCGGTCAGATGCCAGATGCTGTAACGGTCGTGTCTCCCGCTTGTCTCCCTGTGTCTCTCATGTTTCCTGCTTGTCTCCCTGTGTCTCCCAGTCTCTGCGGTCAGATGCCAGATGCTGTGACGCTGGCTCCGGGCCTGCTTGTCTTCCTGTGTCTCGCAGTCTGCGATGCTGTGATGCTGGCTCCGGGATCGTGTCTCCCGCTTGTCTCCCTGTGTCTCCCAGCTTCTGCAGTCAGAGGCCAGATGCTGTGACGCCGGCTCCGGGGTTGTCTCCCGCTTGTCTCCCTGTGTCTCCCAGTCTCTGCGGTCAGATGCCAGATGCTGTGACCGGCCCCTGTCTCCCAGTCTCGTCTTGTCTCCCACCAGTGCCGTTTCCTGCCTGTGTCCCTGTGTCTGCGGTCAGATGCCAGATGCTGTGACGCTGGCTCCGGGGTCGTGTCTCCCTCTTGTCTCCCTGTGTCTCGCAGTCTCTGTGATGCTGTGATGCTCCGGGGTCGTGTCTCCCGCTTGTCTGTCTCCCACTCTCTGTCCCAGTGCTGGCTCCGGGGTCGCTCGCAGTCTCTGCGATGCTATGACGCTGGCTCCGGGATCGCCCGCTTTTCCCCCTGTATCTCCCATTCTCTGCGGTCAGATGCCAGATGCTGTGACGCCGGCTCCACGTGTCTCTCTGTGTCTCCCAGTCTCGTCGTTTCCTGCTTGTCTTCCTGTCTCTGCGGTCGGATGCCAGATGCTGTGACGCTGGCTCCGCGGTCTTACCCAGTTTTGAAGCTGACCTGGCTTGCTTGGCATCCAGTAACCGGCGCTCGGCTCCTTTCGGCTCCCTTCGGCTCACGGGCAGCACTGCGCAAGCGCAACTGAGAAGCATCAAAAGCAGTCCAGCTAGAAACATAGATTCGAAGTCAGAAGGAACGACTTGCAAAAATGTATAGCAGTGGGGAACGGGCACGTCGCAGATTTTGCTGTTAGCCTGTGTGCAAAGGATGTGCTTCTCTCTTGGCCAAGCGCAGGTTTGCATCCTTGTGGAGCATCGTTGGAGCTAGAAGCTAGCAATGTTCAGCTTTGAATATGTCTATTTTTCTCGATTAACAAACAAATCGTGACATTTGGCTGATTGCTTTGCTCAGGAAACTGAGCTGCTTTTTAGAAGCCAGTGCCGCACTTTTTGGCCAAGTGCAGGTTTGCATCCTTGTGGCGCACCAGCAAGGCCCTGTCAAGCCCTAAATATGTCTATGTTTCTCAATTAGAAATATACTGTGACATCCGGCTGATTGCTTTGCTCGGGACTCTGAGCTGTTTTTTGGAAGCCAGTCCCGCATGTTTTGGTCAAGTGCAGGTTTGCATCCTTGTGGCGCATCAGCAGATCCCTGTCGAGTCTTAAATATGTGGACTGTTTTCAATAGACAAATACCGTGACATCCGGCTGATACTGAGCTGCTTTGTAAAACAAATATACCGTGACATCCGCCTGATTGCTTTGCTCAGGATTCTGAGCTGCTTTTCGGAAGCCAGTGCTTCTGGCGCATCAGCAGAGCCCCCTTGAATATGTACTGTTGTTCTCAATAAATACCGTGACATGCGCCTGATTGCTTTGCTCAGGATTCTGAGCTGCTTTTTGGAAGTCAGCGCCGCACTTCTTGGCCAACTGCAGGTTTGCATCCTTGTGGCACATCAGCAGAGCCCTGTCGAGCCTTTAATGTGTCTGTTTTCTCGATGAACAAATATACTGGGACATCCGGCTGATTGCTTTGCTCAGGATACTGAGCTGCTTTTTGGAATCCAGTGCCGCGCTTCTTGGTCAAGTGCAGGTTTGCATCGACAGCGGAGACACACTTAGCGCTGTCGGACTTCTGGCGGGGACAAGGTGTAAAAAGCGGTTTCTTGACATGTTTTCCTGTTGGCATTTTTCCGGTTGGTGCCTTCTGACATCTTCTAACAAGAAAAATCGCTTGGATCCTGAAAGCATTCGTGGAGTTGACCAGACTGGGCTGGCATTTGCGAGTGCTGGCCATGAATGCAGGTGCGCAGGTGGACAAGTGGCAGACAATTGAGGGTTGCGTGCTAAAAACAAAGCATCGCTGTGATGATGAGGGTGGATGGGGAGGATTCTGTTGATTCTGTGGCTGATGAAGGTGGTGACGATGATGATGATGATGATGATGGTGATGAGGGTCAGGATAACGAGGATGAGGATGATGATGAGGAGAAGGAGGGTGATGATGAGTGTGATGATGATGAGCCACAGAGAAGTCGACGGTTTCGTTGACAGTTTTGCTCCGAGTCAACAAACCCTTGGAGTGGAGAAGGGGGCACGGCTCCACTAAGCATTTTACCAGCGAAGCAACAAGAGGGCTTGCGCGGGCCAGCCACCATCTTAGCCAAAATCGTATGAAGCGGGGGGAGGGGGGCTCTAGGCGACAGCGCTGCAGGAAAGACCTTTGGCGGATGACACCAGCAAGTTGCGCAAGCAAGTTGCGATAGCAAGTAGCACTAGCGAGTTGCACTAGCAAAATGCCACTAGCAAAATGGCGCAAGCCAGTAGCAGCTCAGACAACTTGCTCATTGAAACTTGTTCAGAGAAACTTGCTCCAAGAACTTGCTCTGAGAACTTGCTCAGATAATTTGTGCCAAGAACTTGCTTGGAGAACTTGCTCAAAGGAACTCGCGCCAACAATTTGCTCAGAGGAACTTGCGCAGAGAACTTGCTAGGATTACTTGGCGCCGTGCGCTGCTCATGCCTTCGGGCCACCCATCTTCTAGTTTCCTCTTGGTAGCATCACTGTAGTTCGAGCACCCTTTCTTGTTGGCAGTGCTGTTGTAAACCTTGCCTCCTATCTTGTTGCCAGTGTTTAGTGCCTTCTCAGTTGGATAGCCATGTGGCCCGGCCAAAATCATATCCAGTCTTTCGCTAGCTGGTCCTGCGACGCTTTTTCCTCTTTGCAACCTATGTAATCCAGTCCCACTGACAAACGCATTTTGCTGAAGCATTTCACAGCTTCGTGATGCCAGGCTTGCGGCTTTGACATATCTCGTTGCCTCCTGACAGCAGGGTTGAAGACAGATTTCTCAGCCTTGTTTTCCACATGTTCCGCAATATGGACGCTGCTGTTTTGCACGTCTCCGAAAGTGCTCAGGGCTTGCAAGTGCGAGGGCTCAAGGGTTTTCATGGGGACGTTGCAAGGTGCCATTATCATTCTCTGAGGCGCTAGCTTCCCTACAGTCTCTGGACCCATGGAACACCAAAACGGTTCAACGTGAGCTGTATTGCATGGCGCTTGTGCTAGCCTCCCGCAGTGAGTATTTTTGGAAATCCAAGCAATTCCATTTCATTCTCGCAATCAACCTTCTTTTGTGAGATCTCGACTTGAATTTGGCAGCTCTGGGCGAGATTCTGATTTACTTGCTCGCAGCTTACGTGGCTTGTCGGGAAGCCAAGCTGGAGGGATGTGCTGATAGCATCAAGACCATTGCTTACCGAAGCAACACGTGCTAAAGACATGCCCCATCCATTTCTTCTTTGACGACACAGCTTTGCCTCCACTACGCCCTTGGGCATCGGTTCCGACCCGTTCTCGCAAAAGGTTTCGGTGCTGCTGGACACTCTGCGTGCGTGGCGAACTCCCCAGCAACATTACGGAATGGTGGCTCTGGTTCTCAATGTGGTAACTGCAACACACGGTCATGGCCATGTTTCGACACATGTTCGGTCGCTGTATCGTCTAATAAGAGTTGCTAACGCCGCAGTCTGCAAGTTTATGCAAGTTCTCTCTTGCTTTGCTTGTGGCAAGACCTTTAGCCGAGCTCGAGAAGAAGATAGCAACCAGAAGTGGCGTGTGCCCAGTCTCGGCCGCAAGCTGCTGAGACTGATGCTCAAGTTTCAGCAGAGTAGCGAGACGGCCACCAAATGCTGCGGTGATGGAAAAGTGCATTGAGTGTCCGTGCTACGGAAGTTCCTTCGAAACTTCCTTTGATGAATGCCAGGTGTTAGGTTGATTCACTCGAACATGGCATTGACATGGCATTTTGCTCCTCAAAGCCGATGAACAACATTTAACCGGCGTCAAGGAGATGGATGGACCCGATGTGTCCTCTTCCCAAAAAAGGGGACTTCCTACAGGGACACACATAGACTGATTGTAACTATGTGTTGCTCGCATAAGCTACTCAATTTCGCACCTTACATGAAGGAGACAAGCCTTTTTTGGGTTATACAGACCTGTCATGCTTTTTTGCTGTTTGGGGTCGAGGCTGGTGTAATTTATTTTTTTAGAAATCGCACGGAAAGATCGGAACCTTGAGTGCGTGAGGCAGAAACAAGAAGAATCATGACCTCGCAGAATGTTTTAGATTTCGGTTTGGCTTGTGACGTCTGCTGATTTTGAGCGCTGGCCACGTCGCTGAGAAGCTTGGTCGCCCCTTTGTGTCCAATGCTCATTACAAAACATTTTGGCGAGTGGACGTTCTTTTTGGTTCGTTTAAATGTTTTCTCACCATGGGATGGCATCACTTGAACGAACCCAGTTGAGCACGCCGAAGGCTCGACTGTCTAAGGACTGCCTGGTATCATGGCCTTGGGCTACTTGGCGGGTGCCCGTTTGACCTTCCGCAGCAACACTGACTTGTCAAAGGCCCATGCAGACGTACATACATACATACATTCATGCATGCATGCATGCATGCATGCATGCATACATGCATACATACATACATACATACATACATACGTATACATACATACGTATACATACATACATACATACATACATACATACATACATACATATATACATACATACATACATACATACATACATACATACCTACATACCTACATACATACATACATACATACATACATACATACACACACACATACATACATACATACATACATACATACATACATACATACATACATGCATACATACATACATATATATATATATATATATATTTACACATATATATATACACATATGTATAACATGCCATAGGGGCGTGCCTTGCAAAATGGGGGGGCCAAATCAAATGTCGATTTTCCCCTTTGGGCATGCACCGATGTCTCTGCCAAGAGGATCAATGGGTGTGGCTTTCAGGAAGCTTAGAGCACCCAGAGTGTGCCATGTCACACCCAAGCGCTGGGCTGTAGACCCCTTAGCAAGCCCTTAGTCGTCCCTGCGACTCGCACGGGAAGCGTGCTGACACCGAGGCTATGTCGCTGCCTTCTCAGAGACGCTGGCGCTCGCCGTGGCGGCTACGCCGGGAAGGGGCGGCATGTTGCGGGCCCAAACCCAAACCCTGGTCGGAAGAGAAGCGCTGGCTCCGGGCTGCTTCAAGGTTTGGGGCTTGGGGTCCTCCTCCATTTTTGGTTTCGAACAGGGGTGGACTGGATTTGCAACCAAGTTGCCTCAAACCCAATCTAAGTTGGGGTTTCGGTCAGCATGGCGGCGGACCCGAGGTGGTGTCCAAAGGAATCCCGCCCTTGAAGGATGCGCTGATCAGCGAACCAGAGGACAGCATCCCGAACCGGAGGGGAATGCGAACCACTTCTGACCCATCCGACGTGAGCATTACCTTCCTAACATGGAACTTGGCACTGGAGCATGTGGACCGGGTACCCTTTTCACCCAGGAAAAGGGAAGAGGCAAACACACAGAATTGTCGGGGTCCCACGTTTTGGCACATGCCCCATTTGGAGAGAGATTGAGTTTTCACAGGCTTCACCACCGATCCCCTGAGGTTCTGTACCTCATTTCCCTGGGGCGGAAAGTGGAAGCCATGATTGACAGGGATTCATTCCATTTTCCTGTGCGGGTCATTGAAGGAACCAGCCATGCAAAACTCAAGGACCCTCTTCTCCCATGGTTTGTCAGGGGCCGAAGAGGGGAGCCCCCCAAAAAGGCACAGGTTCGAGTAAATTCTGCCCCAGTCGATCGGTGGCTTTTCTTTTGCTCATATTCTCCTCGTTTCGGTTTCGTCCATCCCAGGTAGCTGCAGGATGTTCTCCTTTCTACTCTTTTCGGCTTCGTCTTAGCTGGCAGGATGTTGTCCATGCACTCACTTCCTGAGTTCATGAACTTTAAGCCTTTTGGGAAGACCATTTGAGTGGTAAAAAGATACAAAGTTTGGGGACTTCTTTTGGGCCATCCACGCAGCAAGTGAGTTCACAGTAGCCTAGGGTGGCTTTGCTTTTCCTCATATTATCCTCGGGTTTTTTCTTAGCTGGTGGCAGGATGTTGGCTTTTCCTCAGAATTTTGCTGGGGTTTCGTCTTTGGTGGCAGAATGTTGATTCACTCACTTCCTGAGTTCATGAACTTTAAATCAAGCCTTTTGGGAAGACCATTTGAGTGGTAAACATATATAAAGTTTGGGGACTTTTTAGTTTGCACTTTTTCAGTGGTAACTACAAAGTTGGGAAGACCTCCTAGTCTTTTGACTCTTTTTGGGCCATCCAACCTCAGGCGAGTTCACCGCGCCCCGAGTCGGACGAATCCGTCCGCGTCGGATCGACCGTCGCAGCTGGGACGAGGACCACGTGAAGGCGGCGGCCGCGTGGTCGCTGGGGCAGATCGGCTCGGGCGCCCGGGTCGCTCGCGGTTGGTCGAACGGTCGGGTCGGCGGTCGGGTCTGGGTGGGTCGGAGGCGGGGTGCACTTGGAGAGGCGCTTCAGTTTGTTTGACGTTTTTTTTTTCCCTCTTTTGTTTTTTTGGAAAATAGAAAAAACATATTGTTATCATTTAAATCAAAGTCAGCAGCTGGGGGTGTTTCCCTTTAAGTTATCACTTAAGGGCTGACTGTGATAGTGTTTGCTTGGAGAGGTGCTCGAGGAACATGGTTTTTGGGGGTGGCTCTCCCTAAAGAAACCCGCCATTCGCCGTTTGGAGGGCAACTGTGAGGGTTCTTGATGTACCCAGGATTTTCGGTTCCACCGGCATTTGGACTTCATTTCACTGTAGTTGACTTGACCTGTGTGCGGTTGCCCCCCGTGGCTTGTTTGCGTGGTTCTTTTTGCTTGAAGGCACGGTGCACAAGGAAGCCACCCGGCTAGACGTGGACATGGACCAGCAAAGGGGCCAGACATACTTACCCCAATACAAAAAAAAGAGCTAAAGAGCCTCCATAAGAGGTTGTCTCAGATTAAAGGGATGTCCCTAAAATGGTCAGCTCCCTTATTGTTTCCCTGTTAAACTGCCACAAGGCCCAGAAAGTTATGGGCAAGTTCTTCAATCCGAAATAAGTTGGATCCCTGTGAAAGACACCTTCCCCCCCCCCCCTCCCCCCTTCCGCCCCCCCCTTTGTATGGTGGCCACTTGAGGCCCCCCCCCCCCCCGGTTCGCCGGCCGGGCGCGAGATGGCCCGACCGATTCCGCAGGCCGGCACACCCCGGACCATGCCCGTGCTCTGGCGGAGGCAGACGTTTTGAGGAGGCGGGGAGTGGGTGGTGCCGCCACCAAAAAAAAAGGAAAGAAAGAAAAGAAAAAGAGATGCCTTTTTGAGGTCAAGAAAAAGAAAAGAAAAAGAACACAAAGAAAGTCGAAGTGGGTGGCGTCTTGAGGTCGCAAGGGAATCCAGGATGTGTCCTCTTCGTTTGTTGGACGGGTTTATCAATCCGGGGTCAACTTTTTAGGGTGCAGTTCAGGATGTCGCCTGACTTTACCCAATAAAGAGACATCGCGCATTTTGGAAATTCCAAGTTTGGTTTGTTTGCGGACGTCTGAAATTGGCTGCGACATGGTTGCCAGTTTTCAAGCACAGCCCTGGGTTTCTTTTTGGTCAGTCAATGTTGACTTGGCTCTGAATGTGTTTGAGGGGTTGTGTCCCCTCAAAGTGAGGATTTCATAGGCTCGCAAGCGCTCCCTTGTAAATAGGACGCTTCCTATCAACCGGGGGTTATTCATCCCGGGTGCCAACCAGCTGCCTTGCAGGGTTTTGTTTGTGAATGCGATCCTTGCTGATCAACGGGAAGACCAGATCAAGCATAGGAAGTTGCTTCATTATACTGCCGACCTGATGAATCAACCTCAGCCATCGGTCAACTCATGAAGGAGCTGCTAGTATTTTCCGTTTGCCTTCAAGCAAGTCCAAACCGGATTCCCTGAACACTTTTTTTTTCATTTTACCTCGCAGCCACTGTCTGAAAAAGAGAAGAAAAAGGATTCCCTGAATGCACCTCGGGGTTTCCCAGCCCCTTGACCGATGATCTCCGCGAGCACATTCGATTGGCTCAGGATCCTGGCAGTTTACCTGCACCAGGAGCCAGGGGGGGCGCGGCGGCGTGAAGGGGTGTCCGTGAGCCCGACTTTGTTTGTGGCTGATGAAAAGAAGACAGGCCGGCCTTCGCAAGGTCCAAGAACGGGACTTCAGGGCTGTGGACGGTGACAGGTTGCGGGAGGCTTTGCTTATGATTTGGGTAACGGAGAATACGACTTGCTAGCCCTGGTGGGGCGGCGGAAATCGATGGCACGGTTTCCAGACAAAACCGCGCAGAGGCTTGCTCCCCCATGTCTCCCCAAACTCAACCATAGACGAACCAACCAAACATGTGTCGTTTTTAGTAGGGACCTCTGGTGCTGAAATCTGTCTGCAAGTGGCTCACCTCTGGTCCCCAACTAGCGAAAGGCAAGGGCTTGGAGATCCCCGGGGGGATTGGGGTGAATGGCGGAGATCTCCCTTTGGGGTAACTCGATTTTCTTCGGCAAATACCTAATGAAGCCATGGTTTCAAATTGATGCGAAATGGATTTCGTCACCATCCGCAGTATCCAAATTGGGAAGCCATATGTTCAGCTAAAATTCGGGCCATAGCCTTGGAATAGCTAGGGCCTTGGAGCCAGACATCCGATCCACGACCTCGCCCCCGAGGTCTTGTCACATGTTGAACCCTGCATGAAGCAACCCTTTTTATGAATATGGGCGTGGTTCCCCTCTCCAACAGTGGCTTGACTCATCACTAAAACCAACACTCCCATATTGCAAAAAGCAGGACGGTTTATTTTAGCTTCCATTTGCTTAAGATCATTTTTTTACTTTCCCCTGTTGGTTTTAAAGGGAATCCATTGACTCAGGGCTGAGGGAAATGACCACATCCGTGATACAACAAAAAGAGCTTCCCAAAGACGAGCCCCCCATAAGGGGGAGATTCTCTTGTATCACAGAAGTGGTTGGGGCCAAACCCCGAGTGATCAACCACAACCCTGATTTCACTTGACATATGTTCAGTCCCATATCAATAAGCAGGACGGTTTATGAGCTTCCATTTGCTTAGGAGTAGTTTTTTTCTTCTTTCCCCTGTTGGTCTTGAAGGGAATCAATTTCACTGGACTTTTCAGGAAGCCAAGCCATGGCTCAAGGCGTTGGCCAGCGAGAAAAATCCAGCTCGTGTTTGCTGCGTTGAGCCCAAAGACACCCGCTGCATGACCTCGTGTGCTGAAGCATCTTTGTTGGTCTACACATTTTTCGGCCGAGAAGAGCAGCCAACCAAACAATGTAATTATTCTTCTTCGCACAGCCTGGTGTTTTCGAACTAATTCTTGTTATTTATTTTCTTTTACAGTTTTTCGCCCAAGAGCAACCAAGAAGAGTCAGGTTTTATTTCGCAGAAGCGAGAAGGTGATCGATCACCCGGCCTGGGTCTTCCCCCGTGATGAGATGGGCAACGCCCCGTGCTTCGCCTTCCTGGAGAGGACCGGGGTGCTCGCCCGACTTTTCTTTTGGGGCAGCGGAAATGGCGCTTGACTTGCGCAGGGCTCCTTAAAAGATACATTGTGCCACCATTTGAAACATGGCATTTTCAACACCGAAATAAAGGGAAACCACCATTTACAAGGCAATGTTCAGGTGTATAATCTAAGGCTCCCTGTTGCGTGACCCCAAATGGTCGTGGGTGTCAAAATTAAGCCACCAGGAATTGGACCGCAGGTTAAATCGTCCATGTTTTCACATTTGCCCGGGCTTGCCCCATTTTGGGGACACCCGATTTTTGAGAGCCACGTCCCATGTCCGTTTTTTTCTTGGATGCTCGATTCGCCAAGTTCGTAAGTGGTCAGCCACCTTGGTTCCCACCCAGGCGTGTGGAAGGCCCAGGGCACTGCTCACTTCACGGCCAGTCCCACGTTTTTCCCGCCCATGCGCCAAACATTTGCCATTCCCCGCCCTATGGGCCTATGGGCCGGCGCGGATGGGCCGGCGCCAGCTTTGCAAGCTCCGCGTCAGGCGGCCTGCAAAGCTCACCACGGGGTACTGGGACTTCCGGGGCCTGGGGGCGCCCATGCGGATGATGTGCGCCTACGCCCAGGCGGGGCGGTCGGCGGAGGGGGGGGGGGAAATCGAGGGCCAACCCAGGCGCCACGGGAAACTGAGGCCCAAAAACGAAGCCCCGCAGACCCCCCAAGAAAAGTGGGGGGGGTGGGGGATCCTTGAAAGGATGCGGGCCCTTTTTTAACCCGGAAAACCCCGAAGAAAAGAGATCTTCGGCACTTGCTGCAATGTGAAGAGAGATTGGCAGCCCTGCGAGGAGAACAAAGCAACTTGTCTCGAGAAGCTGAATCTTTTTGAAGGTGGCTTTTGGATACATCTTTGAACCCCGAGGAATTCCGGGAATTCCCTCAATCATACCCAAGCTGTTGGCTCTTTCCCCGCAATTTGCCATCAAGGCCCTCCAAAGCCATGTTGAATCTCAATGCAATTCTCATAGCCCCGATTCTTAGATCTGGGTGGCTGATATCTCCAGTTCAAGCCTTCTTTTGAAGCAAGCAGCAGGGAACTCATGTCGCCGAGTGAAGTAGATGGCAAAGTATCCCTGTGTTGGTTTCGTCATCCGAATCCCATTTACTTGCCCACAAGGAATTTGCCTATTTCATAGCGAGCTCAGCGATCATTTCGTGAGAAAACGCTGTAAAATGCAGCATTTTACCAGCCAAGACAAAACATCCCAAAATATAACAAACAAATTCCAATTAAATTTCGACCCGTTTGGAAAGCCATGAAGGTCCTTTACTTGGGCAGCCGATTCCGAATTCAGCTTCTGGAAGCATAGCAAAGTTTGCGGATTTCACGTTGACCCCGGATTCATGCTGTGGTTTGCGACTGCGTGTCCCCCCCCCCCCCCCCGGCCGTGCAGATGACACCGCAGAAACGCGTAAACGCCTAAAACTTGAAGTGTTTAGGAAACATGGGGGTCAACAGAAATCTCAATTGGTCTGAGTCACATTTGACCCAGTGGCACTGGCGCACTGGACGCACCCCAAAACCCCATTGGTTTCAACCAGGTCCCATGGGAAGACGTGAAGTACTCCGCCCAGCAGAAGGCAAGAGGCAGCTGGATCGCCCCCGAGTGGGAACGCGAAGAGCGGCCAAAGTGCCCTGGCTTTGGCCCAGAAGGTTTATCTCAAAGGCCAAGAGGAGGGCCGCGTGTTTCCCTCAGCTTTTCTAGGGGCAACTTCCGTTTTTATTGTGAACCCAGGGATCCGAATCTTTCTAGAAAACAGCCATAAACCATCTGGAAATTGCTGGTTTTTGAAAAGGAGGGCTAGATAGCCAAGTTGCGATCGCTTTGTTCAGTCACTGTTGCTGGTTTTTGGGGTGAAGTGGATGGAAAAAAGCGATCGCAACTGGCGATCCAGGGGCGCTTTTTTCCCTCAGTTTTTTCTTTTCGGAGTTTCCTCACTCCCTGAGCTCCTGGACTTCAACTTTTGGAAAAAAAACAAAGTTTCGACTTTGTGTAGCCCGTCAAGGACGGCCGCTTGTCCCCTCAGGAATTCCCCTGTGACCCAAGCACTGGCCCCATTATTTTAGCATGATCAAAGTCACCCCCTAAGTGGTGGCTTAAAGGGAAACAGCCGAATCCATTTGCTGACTTTGCTAACCCCAGAAACAGTCAAAATCATGACCCATAACCCCCCCCAAAAAAAAGAACAAGCGACAAAAGTTCCCCAGTGAATAAACCAAGCAAGCACTTTCGGCAGGCTCCGGGAGAAGAACCCTTTGGTGCAGCTGCCCTACGTGATCAACCACTCCACCGGGGAGGTGGTCACCCAGTCCAGCGCTGTGTACCTCTACCTGGGCCGGGTGCTGGGCTTAAACGGGACCTCCCGCGAGGCGGGGATCGAATTTTTTGTGGCCCTCCAGGCGTTTGTCGTAAGGTCGGGTTGGGAGGCGAAAGGACATAGCAGCATGTCCTCCAACTTCACGAGGCAGCACTTTTACTTAAATGCTCTTGGGTAACGGGTCTTTAGACTTTAACTTTTTGGTTGAAATCTTTTGGGTGGTTTCCACTTGTTGCAGGGGGTCAACAGCAACCAAGGTTTGCGGATCGACTTTTTTTTGAAACCCCAAAAGCGACCCATGGGTAGCGTTTTTCCCCGTGTAATCTCTTCCCCCTATTAATAAATACCCCCCCCTCCCCTATTATAAATAAATCCTCCCAAAAATAGGTGTTGTTTTCTTTTTTAAGCTGTTTTTTTTGCTTTTCCAACAATGTGAGGGTTCACATAGGACTTGGAGGAAATGGATTGAATTGCAAGGTCCGCGAGTAAGCGGTTTAATAAGGACATTTTATGTATCATTCTATTTGTTTTTCAGTTTACTGGTTGTTTGTTTGCAGCCAGGCAGGTTAGCCAGCATGTACGGGGGAGAGACAGTCGCAGCTTAAAAGTGGGGCTGGAAGCTTGTTAAAAGTGCCCCCTAATAAGGATTCCAAGACTTTAGTATTGGTTTAGTATTGGCGCAATTAAAAATCAATTGCGGAGTGGAAATCTGGTCCCGGGCCCCGGATTTCCATTTTTTATTAATTGGGGTCATTCATTAATAGGGGGAAGAGATTAGGTGGTGGAAGTCTCGTCTTTTTGGGGTGCGGGGATCGAATATCGAATTTTTGGTGGCCGAGGCGAGGTGGTGGGTCACTTGTGCCATTTGGGTGGTGGAAGTCTCGTCTCTTGCGGGGAGATCGATATTTTTTTAGCCCCCTTAAGCGACCCATGGGTCTGGGTGAATTATAACAACCTCACATGATCGAATTCACCCCTAAAATGTTGGTTTATGTGGGTAATAGCCCCCCCAAACCACCTTATTTCAGGCTGGTGAAATATTACTGTGAACCATAGGAGTTCATTATAGGCAGATGTATAGGCAACAAACCATGCACAATGGGAGCCGTTTTTGTGTCGAGGAAAAGGCCGCTTTTGAATAGCGGCAGCACAGGTTATGAGCCCAAACCCCTAAAACAGGGGCCCTCGCTCGGCAATGGAACCGACAAGG